AAGTAAAAGATTGTTAGATGGTTTCTGAAACGCTGGAGTATTTATTCTGTCAGCTTGTCAGCAGTTAATGATAGAGCTGGGGAAAAAAATCTGTCATGAAAAACAGTTTGAAAAGCTGTTTGAAAAATACATAGGCTTTAAAGTCTTAGCTGTCACCCAGCCTGTCCATGTGTAGTTCTTAAACAGCAGTGGCACTAATGATAGCGCTAACCAATCCGAAGAATTCATGGGGTTGCTTTGCCTTTGGCAATTCTCTTTTTGCTGAAATCCCTTTGAGTACTGTTTTCTGTACTTAAAGCCGTATGTGAGATGTATCATCACAATCAAAAATGAACCTGAATATTACCTTCCTTTTATCCTGTCGATGGAAATCAAATTTCCTGTAATTGATTTCGATTGATTCTTAAAAAAAGATGGGGAGGGGGGAACAGGATCATAATCCGTGCGCTTTCCAAACCAAAGTTCAAAACTAAGGCACTTGTACTGGGGCGAAAAACAGGATTAATTATGAAATACTTTTTATTATTATTATTATTATTATTATTAAAGTGTTCTAAACGTGTTTAGAACACTTTGTTTCTAAAAGTGTTCTGCTGGATGACAGTCTTCAGAGCAGTTCCTTCACATAAGAACTTCTAGGACTCATTTGTAAACAACTCAAGATTATACAGAAATAGGAGTGAACTATAGGAGTGGCCTTTTGTTCATCTTTTCAAGTCTCTTAAATATTTATCCTGAATATTGTTGGAGGCAAAAAAATCAGATCACAAAATAGAGATGCCTTGCAAAGCCACCACTGAAATCTTGGTAGGCTTGGAGATTCTTCTGAATTTCCTTATACTGGGATTTTAAATTTCACTTTGGGCCTCATTCGAATGGCAGTTCTCTGTCAGGTACCCGCTGAAGTTGAACAACCGGCTGTTGCTTCAGAAATAAGATTCATGCTGAAGTTTCAGAACAAGACCCAGAGGCAGCTGAATTTCAGTCAGACTTCCCAGCTGATGAGCTGATCTTTCCAAATTGTGGGACTTTTATGGGTAGGGGGCATAAAATAATGAAGGCAGGGAAGGTAGCTGCTTTGGGACAGGCCAAACCAAGAATGGTCCCATAGGAGCCATGGCAGAGGAATATCATAGAAGGAGAGAGGGAAGGTGGAGCTACTAAGGCTGGGATGTCACAGTTCTTGCTCTGCTCTGCAGTGACCCCTCATGAGGAGCTTGCAAGGAGAATTCAATACCTGACCTTTCTTACTATCAGAGGGGGTAGTGATGTTACTTATTTTATTGAGGAAAGCATAGAGAGTACCAATCCTGGCTACAATACTATAAAGCAGTGTTTCTCAACCTCCTCAACTTTAAGATGGGTGGAGTTCAACTCCCAGAATTCCTCAGCCAGCATGCTGGCTGAGGAATTCTGGGAGTTGAACTCCACCCATCTTAAAGTTGAGGAGGTTGAGAAATACTGAGATAAAGAGTATGCTGACATCCTGCCAAGGCATCCGCAGGAGGTTCAACCGAGGGCAAATGTCAACAGCAGCACCACACTATTCTGATGCAAACTCCACCCCTTTTGTACATGCATGGGGAGGTGTGAGTTTGCTTTTGTCATTTTGATGACATCCTTTGATGCTTCTGCTGGGGCAGGACCTGAAGAAATCCCAAGATATGGTTGGATCAGGGTGTCAATCTTTTTCCCTGAATGAAAAAGGATGTTAAAGATTTAAATCATGACTGATCTAGATGTCCATATAGCACATCAGCAGAGGAACAAGAAAATACACTCTTCTCACTCCTTGCTCTGGTGCTTAACTGTTATTTCTGATGAGTGGCAGAGGCCAGTTTCTAGATTAAAACCAGAGGGTACCATGCATGGAGATTTAGACACACACTGTTTTCTGCATTGTTCAAGAAACTGATTGTTCCTGAATTCTACCGTGTATTTCCTCAACCTGTTTTTCACCAACATTTGGAACTGGAAGACAGAAAAAGAGAGCTTTGCAAGAGGAAATGCAGCTTTCTGTTCTCTGTTGAACATCCATTGCTGCTTTGTGTATTTGGTCTAAAAGTTATCCCAGTTCCCATCTTGCTAATCCTTGCTGATGCACTACTGATTTACCTACATGTTTGTTTATGTCAGAGAGGGAATAAAATGAGCCCACAACCCATTTTATTCCCTCCATTATATGATGCTTGTGGACATCCTCCCATCATGTTTAATTCCCTTATCTTCTATGCATCTCATCTCTATTAATTTCTATCCATATGAAATTTGAGAGAGAGAAAACATTCCCCCGATCCGTCTGTTATCTGATAAATATAGGGTTATAAAAGTGAAATAAAAGAAGGAAAAAGAGTGAGAGGGCAGAGGACCCCGCAACATTTGGAGTGAAGTGCTGTGTCCCTGTTTGCTATGTAAAGTATGCCTCATTTCTTTGATCTGGAGTCATAATAATTCTGGGGAGTTCTACTGTTTTCATATGCTTCAAAGCTGTGTCAAAGTTTTGCTGCTTTAGGGTACTTCTTTATTCTACTGGCTCATGGGTACTAAGATGACAGGTCCTCAACACTAGGTGGAGGCTTTTTCAAGTCATTGCCTTCAGCAAAACATCAAATTACCAAATACAGGCTAACACAGTTCTACACAAATGCCTTTCCTGTAGATATATTATACCATATATATTAAATACTTTAGTGTTACACGGTACATTTTATGTGCAATGGAAAGTGATGGTTTGAGGTAGCCTTAGGGGGACTTCCCGCCCCCCCTTCCACAAGCCGAAACAGCTAGTGTATATCGTATCAAGTATGGTTTTTACAGGACTTTCTGCCTGAAGGCCTTTGTAAATAAGTAATGATCAACAGATTGGCTGTGGGTTTTTGAAAAGCATGCCTGTGCCAGTTTGCATGATGGGGAAAGAATTTTCAAAGTGGAGCCTTGCTTTCATTGCCTGCTGAAGAGGGACTCAGGGAGATTACTCATCTCCGACTTGAGCTGTCTGTTCAGTAACACATCAGAATTGCTAAACATTGGTTGGACAATGAGGGAGTAGCTCAGCACACCTAGATTTGTTTTATTTCCTCCTTTGTCCATCTGCCGGACTCCAGTCTCTATTCCAACCCTCAGCCTGTCCCTGCTCCCTTCCCCCTGTAGTGTTTGGGAGTCCAAGATTCATTCCAGATCAAGGGAAGATCACATCTTTCAGAACAGGCACGCAAATGCAAATGTGTGTTACCATAAACACATTTATCTAAAAGTGATGAAAGAAAAGGGCCTCTGACCACTTAACTGAGTTTGTTTACAGAGGCCATAAACAAAATCTTCCCAACAAATCTTGCAGATCCTTTATCAAGTTTCCCTTGAAATTTCTCACAAGTTTTGAGTTGAATGCAAAGCTGCAGATTTTGATTAGGTATAATTTTGCACAGGGCAACTTCAAGGCAAACAAAATCGCTCCCAGAAATGTTGCTAGCTTTTTCGAAATGTTTGGATTTGGGTTTACCATGAGTGTGCAGTTGAGGTTCCCTGGACCCTTAAGCTTCTTTTTATAATTATATAGGCTTAATTGGAGAATTAAAGTGATTGGTAAGATTATTAGTTCAATATATAGTACATCCATGCTTTGACTAGTGTGCAGTCAGGTCTCCTTTCAGAATTACAGCAGAATGTTTTAACTCTGACTTTCATGGGTTTTATAATGTCCTGTTACTATACTTTTTACTAAATGCCCTTATATTCTTATAAATACAGTAATATATTTCTGGTCCCTCTTTAGCATACTTACAGAACCTGTGTGATTTCTGTGAAATCCTGTGAATTCAAACATTTTACTTTTATAATGATTTCAAACCCAGATTTCTAGTGAAATTAAACCAATAAATCTCATTATCTCCTACACAACTGTAGAGGAAAAGGAATTTTCTTTTATAACTTTTAATCTTGCATTTGTTAGATATTTGGTTATCAGCATCTAGTGGATCAGTCATATTAAACAGCAACAATGTCACAATAATGGCAACTTCTAACTAGTTTATTCTCTGCTCTGCCATTTTCATTCTGAAAGTTAGTTGCGAGGTGTTATTTAAATTATTAATAGCCTTCCAGAAAATGCAAACATTTCAAATATGGTCCATAGCACTGAAAAAGTTTTCCATATTCAAAGAATTAATTCCATGGGCTGGATCCAAAAAATAACCCATTCAGTTCCTCTGAATGCAGCTGCCCTATGCAAAATATATTCCATTAGCTTCTTTTCAAACTGAAGGGACTTACAAAAGTTTTCCTACAACTGGGATATCCTCAGGTCCTGTCATGTCCTCCACATTGTTCAACATCTCTATGAAGCCATTGGAAGAGATCATCCAGAGCTATCATCCAGACATCAGAATGTAAATGATGAACATGTCCCTGTGTCTTTTCCATTTTCTCATTCGAAGAAGAAAGCTGAACTGTGGGTCACGTACACGGAAGTAATATTGGTACCAGGTACCTTTAGGCTACCTGGTACCATTGGCCTAAAGGAAACTGCATTTCCCAGATCTCCATGTGCTTGACACATTGCAGTACACCAGACACCAGAAGGAGATGAAAGGGCTCTCTTTTCTCAGTCTATGTTTTATGTGTACTTCTGCCAAAGC